TCGGTTACGGTTACGGATATTTTTTTTTCGGATATCCGATAGTTTCGATTACGGTTACGGATATCCATAACATCCCTGCTTTCAAAACTACTGAATTGACCTATGAACCAACTAATAGTTAGTATTTATACAGTGTGAGTCTTGATAAAGTGAACATAACGTTTACTTTACAATCAGTAATTGAAAGATAAAAAATTCTATAAAAAATATAAAAAATCTCAGATATTTTTTGTCATTTTTTCGTTCGATAAAAATGGGTCTAGTTTCACCCATTTTCATATGTGCACTTTATCAAGACTCACACTATATTTGTTCGGTTTATTGCTTGCATTAGCCCTAGGGGACACAAATATAATGTGCTCGTTATGTAATATTAGGTCCTTACCTATGAAATTAGCGTTTTGTTTCTTCAATATTCATTATAATTTCTTTTATATTATAGCTATGTGTTCATCATTATTGTTTTATTTGAAATTCTATTTCAAAAGACTTACTTTTACGCTTAAAATGTTTAACTAATTTTTATTTTTTCAATTAGAATTAGACCTTCAAAGACCTAAAAATAAAATATACAGATACAATTTTTCAAAAATGTCCTCTTTATGTTTCTACAGTTAAATGTTGTTTTAATCTACCCAAAAAAAATCATAAAATTTAATTTGTGTTTCATTAAAAACCCGCAACAATGTTAGTATGGAAAAAAATATTTTCGTGAAATGCTCCATACAAAACGCTAATTTCAATTTCATAATAATTGTATTTGATAAACTAAAATGTATTAGTGTAACAATGTATTGGTGAACCAAATAAATAGGTAGGTAGGTATGGAATACTTACTAAACATAAAGATGGACGATTTTTCTTGTGTTCTGGAATACTTTATAAGTATTGTGTAATTGTAAAGAACACTTAAGTACGTCACTTTTTAAAGAGGCACTGAATGTGTTAGCCAGCCTGGTGTTTAAGTTACTACAGCTATTTTAACATTACAATATCCTGTACCACACACGTGACGCATCTCCCTGAATATCACTAAATATTGAGTAAACAATATAGGTAATGTACCTATAATGTTACAGTCAAAACTCACATTCGGTCGAAACCACTTTTGACTATATTTTTTATTAATTTAGTCTGTGCAAACAAACAGTTTAGTTAGACCATAGAAAAAACAAATAAGAATGCCAACTCGAGCCCCGAGCGAGCGATAAAGCCTTGATCACACGTACCGAGCAAACGGGCGAGACAGTGCTCTCGGCCAAGTACTCGATGTGTATGAACATTACGCCGAGTGCTCGACCGAGCGCTCGAGTATGTGACCCGCTTACCCAACTGTCTCGACCGAGTAAACATTTTACTGTCTCGCCCGTTTATTTATTTATTCAAGGAAAATCTAATACATAATTACAAGTACCATGCTTAAATTATATAGCAAGTAATGCCAATTACAGGTTTTCCTTAGTTACATAGTAAACTAAATGCTAATCGGATACAATGATCACACACAACCGTTTACTCGGTACGTGCACAGTAGATAAATCAAACAGTACGGAAGCTTCATACAAACGCTCGAAATCAGACTCACTCACACAGACGCACGCTTTACACGAGCTCTAAGCGAACCTCGCAGTCCATCCGTCGCGAGTGTCGCGCGCGTTGTGTTTATAATAATAATTTTATTGCATGCACGATCCGCTGTATTTTTAAAAAACATGCCACGTGTGTATTGCGTAGTATACGGCTGCTTGAACTCGACATCTTCAAAACCAGAACTTTCATTTTTTAAACTTCGTAATAATTCTGAATTGTAAAAATTATTAAATATTACTTTTTAAATAAACTGCTGCTTACATCTGATTTTGTAATAGTTCTTTTTAAATTACGTAATTACGCTTTTTAACAATTTATGTGTTCTATTTGATAAAGTAATTTGCTCCGCGCGCTTTGGTACTAAGTGATGAACTGAGCCCCGATTACGGTAACTTTTATAACGTCTACAATCCAGACGCGTTTCTGATTCTGCGATACGATTGGTCAAAACAGCTGACGTACGCTGTTGAACGACCAATCGTATCGCAGAATCGAGAAGCGTGTCTGGATTGTTGACGTTAAAAATTACCGTAATCGGGGCTCTGTATTTAAAATGAAGCAATAGCTATGTGAAAGTCGGTATTTTATTTATGAGAATAGAATATCTTCTACCGGCCTCTAATAGTACTTAATCAAATTATTCGATTATGTATTCGATCATTATAGAACCTAATTCACGTTTTATTTTTTTGTTAACTACTTAGTCAATTAATTTATTCCATTAGGTATTTGATAATTAAAAAACCTAAATAACCGTTTTAATAAATAAGTAAATTCAGAACCTTATTAATTTTATAAAGATTAAGAGTGCCAATCCTAACACTCAGTTGAAGTGTAGGTATTTAACTCGCCGAAAGGGCTAAGTTTCCGTACTGCTTTAGCTCATTTATCTACTGTGGTACGTGTGATCAAGGGTTAATAGCGTGTGAATAAGGTATTCAATCGTCAAAACTGCATTACTCAATTTAAATATAAAATAATTTCGGGACTTACTAAAGAGTGGCAGACTAACATACAAGGAAATACTTTGTATACTAATATACAGGGTGTCTAATTTTTTTTATGATCTTTTGTATTTTATTTTTTGTATGCTAAAACCGACGTTGTAGAAAATTTTATAATATTAAGTTTTGAAATCAAATACATGGAATAATAATAGTAATACTTTATTCAGCATAATTAAAAAAATAGAGTACATGATAATATTACGCGAAAGCGGCGTTCTGTTTTATATCATCATCATTTTAGCCATAGAACGTATACTGCTGATCATAATCCACTTCTTCCGATCGGCTTCCACGTTCATGATCCACTTCTTCCAATTCGCTTTCAAGTTCATAACAATTTTTACCTATCTTTGATTTACCTTTTGGACATTCATCATTCTTAACAATATCATTCATGTAATCAAAATCATCACTCAATGGCAAAGGGGTTTTAGGTGACCAGTTTTCGCGGGCAGATGGCTGCGGCCAGCTATTAGAGGCCCCATTCTGGTCGTGCGAAGTAGTTTCATATGTCTTGGAAGGCCGCATGCTTTCGCCGGTACGTAGCAGTCCCCAGCTATAAGGGACTCCATTCTGCTCGTGCGGCGTAGTTTCATATGTCTTGGAAGGGGACCAGTTTTCGCGGGCAGATGGCTGCGGCCAGCTATTAGAGGCCCCATTCTGGTCGTGCGACCTAGTTTTATATGTCTTGGAAGGCCGCATGCTTTCGCCGGTACGTAGCAGTGCCCAGCTGTAAGGGACTCCATTCTGGCCGTGCGGCCTAAATCCATGTATCTTGGTAGGCCACCAGGCCTCGCGGGTAATAGGTTGTGGCCAGCTACCTCTTCCGTAGTATATGTTATAATTGCGCGCGTTATACGGCCAGCCATTAGAGCTTGGGGCCGAGACTGCGGTGGCGATCATGGTGATGCACCATGCCAATACTGCAGCTAGCTTCAGCATCTTTCCTGTGAACATTTGGTTCTATAAATATTTTGATCGGTTATAATATAAATAAATGAAACATACTCCTACTCGTACTTCTATCAAACATTTCATGAAAGGTTGGCTAGGCAAGACACTTATCCCTATGCGTTTATATCATATCTATTCTATGAGCAAACGGATGGTTCAGTATTTATGTTTGTTCCGTTTATTCTTGCATTAGCCTTAGGAAATACAAATGTAATGGGTACCATTTGATTGATTAGCTTATTTATTATTTAATGAAAGAAAGAAAGAATGAACAGAATAAAATATTTGGTCAGCTACAATGGCTACATGGTCAGCTTTTCCAAACTGGTTTGTAATTAATATCATAATGAATTGCACTAAATTATTTTGGTCAACAGAAATATTTATAAATATTTAAGCCCACAGTATTGGGACTCCACGAACAAGACGGGATAGAATTAAACGGCAACGCATGATTGGGAAAGCCGCACCCAAGTAATGGGATGCAGAAAAATATAAAAATATTAAGCAAATCACAACTAACCAAAGTTTGGAAAGCAGTCGATGAGTAAGCAAATTGTTCCTGATCAATTACGAAATGGCCGCCACTCTTAGAAAGTGGGTGTATCACAAATGTAATGAGTTGAGTTGGTATGGTCTAAAAAATGATACATTTATTTTGGTCCTTTGACCCTTTGGGATATGAAATATATAAAAAAAACCGGCCATGTGATAATTGACCAGCGCACCAAGGGTTCTATATAAAATTGTATGTATATAATAGTTTATTCCTAAAATTAAGATTATCGAACAAAAAAACAATGACAAGATTACATTTCTTGTATAGGAGCACCTAATTAGATATTTATTCCAATCTGTTTTATTACTTTTTGTTGATGGACCATCATGTTGAATTCATTTGTAATTTCAATGCAATTTATAATAATTTAAATTTTAAATTCCTTGGTTTTACATTATGACTGTGTGTTGAAAATAAATGACTATTATTATTATTTACACTTACCGTACAATAAGATATTCAGCACAATATAATTATACAACCGCTCTATTAGTAGAATATCCTAAAACTATTTTAGAAATTCTAATATTTTCCTCGCTTGCTCCCATATCTGATAATTTCGTAATAAGGAAAATGTTAAATAAATTACTGTTAAATAATGTTACTTAAAATATTTGGCTGTGTAACTTAACGTAACTTTTAAACTAAGAGGTATATCCTGATAAAATGCAAACAGTAATAATGTCTATTTTTGCAGTCAAAATTGGTTTTGACCGATGCCCTTGGTTAATAATATGGACTGATTTTGACTGCAACATACACACAAAACTTTTGAAACGACCGTGTTTTAGCAAATAGATAATTCTCATGTATAACACAGCCAAATATATTTAACGTTTTCCTTATTACGAAATTATCAGCAGTTCTAATGCATAACTGAGTCAGTGCCTGAGATATGAGAGCGGCACGGGGGCTATAAATATTGGCAAATATTAGAATTTCTAAAATCGTTTTGGGACATTCTAACAGAGCGGTTGTATAATTATATTGTGCTGAGTATCTTATTATACGGTAAGTGTAAATAATAATAATAAAGTCATTTATTTTCAACAGACAGTCATAACATAAAACCAAGGAATTTAAAATTTAAATTATTATAAATTGCATTAAAATTACAAATGAATTCAACATGATGGTCCATCAACAAAAAATAATAAAACAGATTGGAATAAATATCTAATTAGCTGCTAGGTCCTATACAAGAAATGAATTTTTTCATTGTTTTTTTGTTTGATAATCTTAATTTTAGGAATAAACTATTTAAATACATACAATTTTGTATAGAATACTTGGTGCGCTGGTCAATTAACACAAACATGGCCGGTTTTTAGGGTTCCGTAGTACTGACAAGGTCTGTCTGTCTGTTTTGTCCGTTTGCAAAATGTTAAAGCGCCACTTTTTGTTCGAGTAGGGCGTCACTCCCCCCTAAAAACTAAACCCATGGCTTGAAACATTTGGAAAAATTCATGATAACAGTGATTTTTATGAACTTTCAAGGAAAACTATAGCAGTTAAGATATATTAGTTAATTTAAGAGTAATAGTCGTTTTACTCATTTATTGTATTTCATACCTAATAAAAATTCCTTAGAAGAAAATATTAAAAGTGACTTTAGATGAAGTAATTGCTTGCTTCTGAAATATACCTACTGTGGTAACGAAGCACAACTACGAAACCCTACATTGCGTGTGGCACGACACGCACTTGGCCGGTATTTTTTTTTATATTTCATATCATACCCCAAAAGGTCAAAGGACCAAAATAAATTAAAAAATAAATGTATCATTTTTTAGACCATACCAACTCAACTCATTACATTTGTGATACACCCACTTTGTAAGAGTGGCGCCCATTTCGTAATTGATCAGGAACAATTTGCTTACTCCTCGACTGCTTGCCATACTTTGGTTAGTTGTGATTTACTTAATCTTTTATATTCTTCTGCATCCCGTTATTTGGGTGTGGCTTTCCCAATCATGCGCTGCCGTTTAATTCTATCCCGGACGTCTTGTTCGTGGAGTCCCAATACTGTGGGCCTAAATATTTATAAATATTTCTGTTGACCAAAATAATTTAGTGCAGTTCAGTATGATATTAATCACAACCCAGTTTGGAAAAGCTGACCAAATATTTTATTCTGTTCATTCTTTCTTTCATTAAATAATAAATAAGCTGATCAATTAAATGGTACCCATTACATTTGTATTTCCTAAGGCTAATGCAAGGAATAAACGGAACAAACAAACATAAATACTGAACCATCCGTTTGCTCATTGAACAGATATGATATAACATAAGGATAAGTGCCTAGCCAACCTTTCATGCAATGTTTGATAGAAGTACGAGTAGGAGTATGTTTCATTTATTTATATTATAACCGATCAAAAGATTTATAGAACCAAATGTTCACAGGAAAGATGCTGAAGCTAGCTGCAGTATTGGCATGGTGCATCACCATGATCGCCACCGCAGACTCGGCCCCAAGTTCTAATGGCTGGCCGTATAACGCGCGAAATTATAACATATACTACGGAAGAAGTAGCTGGCCACAGCCTCTTACCCGCGAGGCCTGGTGGCCTTCCAAGATATATGCTTCTAGGTCGCACGGCCAGAATGGAGTCCCTTATAGCTGGGGACTGCTACGTACCGGCGAAAGCATGTGGCCTTCCAAGACATATGAAACTAGGTCGCACGGCCCGAATGGTGTCTCTAATAGCAGGCCGCAGACACCTACCCCCGTAAACTGGTCACCTACCCCTTTGCCTTTGAGTGATTTTGTTTACAATGATGATTGTCCAATAGGTAAAATAAAGATAGGTGAAAAATGTCATGAACTTGAAAGCGGATCGGAAGAAGTGGATTATGATAACCAGTAGATGACCTGTGGCTAAAGTGATGATGATGAGCGTTCATATAAAACAGAAATAAATACACAGAATGATGTCGGTATCTACATAATATACTCTAGACCAGTGGTTCCTAACCTCGGGGTAATTACCCCCGCAGGGGTTAACGGAAATTCTAGAGGGGTAACACGGGATGGCACGAAAAAGTATTAAAATAGCAATGAACAAAATAATAGTACGGTATTGGCCGCGCCAAACTTATTTAGCAAAAAATTGCGTGGTGGGGGTAAATTTGGCCGTCGTAAAATGTATCGTATGCCCTCGGTTACAGAGTACATGTTACGATGGGTAATTTAACTCCCTCCACGAAATTCTTAGATTCTGTAGATCCGCAGGAGACTTTAGCTAGGGGTAAACTCAATTCTCATACTTGTTCACAGGGATAGTGACATTGAAAAGGTTAGGAACCACTGCTCTAGACTGTAACTTGTGTTGACTGGAAGCACGAAACGATCACGAATTTGTAACGAATGTTACAGTCTAGGGGCCTTACTTACGGAGGCCATTACTACTGTACTGTTTTAAACAACTTTTATAATGTCAACTGACAATTTTGATAATAACATTAACTGATGATGTGCACATACTAAAACTGATTTTCATAAGAATAATAATATAAATAAATTAACACAATATGGACTTTTCTTTTTTATACCTTACTCCTCTTATAAAATGTAGTGTCAAATATAAGACTGATTTCACAATGTCAGACAACCGCTGATGTTATTTATTAGAAGACGTGTATAGTTGTCGAATGCTTTAATTGCATTGATTTTTACGTAAAAAATACCAAATGTAAGGCGGTCGTAGCTGCCCAAAATGCATATTTTCATGCACGTATAAATAAATGCAAGTTAACATAAAGGAACTTATTAAAATGTTTAAGTTTACTCGTATACCTCTTAAATAGGAGTTATTTTTTCATACTAAAATAAAATTTAGTAGATCGCTCTAATGTTTGTAAATCTACGCGCCTCACCAAGATAGACTAAGCAAACGAACGTCACATCATTACAGTAACAATCCCAACTAATATTATAAATGCGAAAGTAACTCTGTCTGTCTGTCTGTCTGTTACGCTTTCCCGCTTAAACCTCGCAACCGATTTTGATGAAATTTGGCATAGAGATAGTTTGAGTCCCGGGAAAGAACATAGGATAGTTTTTATCCCGGTTTTTGAAACAGGGACGCGCGCGATAAAGTTTTTCTGTGACAGACAGAATTCCACGCGGGCGAAGCCGCGGGCGGAAAGCTAGTAATAAATAATGTGTACGGTCTTTGTGGAAATCCTTGAGGGAGGCCTTTTTCCAGCAGTGGACGTCTTTCGGCTGAAACGAACGAATGAACGAATATGTCCAGACAGTCTTATGAAAACTGGAAAATATTTTTTGTTCACATCTTCATAACTTTTAATGTTGACGTTTTGTTTAATGAATTATGTTAAATACCACATGTGTACAGTGACGCGGAAAATGTGTGGTTTCTCACTAACCCAGTATGGCTGTTTTTCCATAACTGAAGTACCTAATATACTTTAAACTTTCTATGTCATGTTCGGGAAGTAAAGAGGATCATTTTAGTTTAAATAATACAGCGGAATTTTTGAGAATTAAAATAAAATCGATTAATCGAAAAACAGTTTTATACACTCGGCATCAAATAAATCGCACCTCCCGCAACAAGCACTTCTAAAACGTATGCATCCCCACTTTCCACCAACATTGGTTCCATTTGAAAGCCTAGTTCTAAACTTCATTTCATTAAAGGAAAGGTTTTTACCCCAAAAATGTGTAAAAAGAAGGAACCAGAGTCACTTCTTCAAAAAATAGGTAGTTACGCTTTAGTGGCTATAAAACTGTTAAATTGGGATTAATCGCTATCCATCTGTTAAAAAGGACACCTAAGATCATTATTTGGTTTTATAACCATAAAAATTGGTCTAATTGATCCCAGAGGTGAGCGGTTCTATATTGGCTCACATAAAATTCTAAATCCTATTCTTTGTCTTACTACCGATTTGTGTTCATAATAATCTCTCTTCATAATTTTATTTTTCATACTTTTTTTATTCATACATTTTTATTACTACCATCGGAGCTCATAACAGTTAGTAATCATAATTTTTTTATCAATACTGGTACTACCAAGAACCATTTAAAATACATAATTTTTATTTTCAGATCTTTTTTCTTCATAACATTCATTGATCATATTGTTTTAATTAATAATGTTGTTACTAAGAACATACTTCAACTCATAATGTTGTTGTTCAGAATAATTTACTTTATAACAGACATACTCGTATCTTTAAAAAAATCATATATAATCATGCATTGGTATCTCCTCGTCTCCGGCGCTGCGGGATGTGCAGCCCTTCCGCCCTTGCGTAACGAGGCTCAGGCACCCACGCTTGCTTCCGCAGCTTCGGCTTTTTGGATCGCCATCGGCGCCTTCGGCGCCTCGGCGACCAGCCTCAGCCGCTCCAGCTCACCCGGGCGCCTGAGCCTCGTTACAGCGGGCGAGGGCTGCCCTCCCTCCGCGCCTCCGGCTTTTAAATTACACTCTAGGGGTAGGGCAGACAAGACTACGTGGAGTCGGTTTTGCAGCGATTCGTTTCTGTCACGTTAGTTTTGTGGCACAAAATATTGCCTGTTTTGGACCATTTCAAATTAATTTAATGTTAAAATACGATTTAATACGAATATAGACAAATCATGATTTTCAATAATATGGATAAATACACTTATGAGTAATAAATTTATGAAAACAAATATTAGGATACATCACATTTATGAATATTATAGTTATTTATTCGAATGATTATGAGTTTCGATCGTTAGTATAGAAAAATATATGAAAACAAATATTAGTAAAAACTAAGTGTATGATTAGTGATATTATGAATATCAATGATTATGTTTTTAAATATGTAGGTTTTAAATTTTTTATGAAGAATGATCATTATGGTATCAAATTGTATGAGAAATATTTTCGGACCTTCAATGATAGGAATTGAAAAGTTATGTAAGAAAATGCGCTACCGAGGTGAGCCCCAAGTGAGGCCTTTTTCAAGTCACATTTATGGTACCTGTTAATTGTTTATATGAAAATTAAATGTGTCTTTCTTTAAGTTTATTTATTGGGCTTTCAAATAACACCAATATTGTTGGGGCGCCATGATTGTGTCAGAAGAAAATCTTTAAAGTTTGCGTCGCGGAAGGTGCGATTTATTTGATGTTGAATATATTTGGATCTGAGAAAGCTACGAGATTCTTTTAAGCTTTCAAATACGTAGAATAAGATACTCCATCTATGTACCGAACATTGTAATGGGTTAACATGCTTAGTTTACCCGAAAATCGTTTTCTAAATAATAATATTACTTACCCTATTAAAAGTAGTCAATTTTAAAAAAATATTTTGTAAAAACTAGACATGCTAGCTAAATGGAGATTTCGTTGCTATCATTTAAATCGCCATATCTAGCCGCTTCTTCAATAAAAATGCAATTTCCGAAAAATGGTCTTCATAAAACACTGTGCACTAGACCACAGAGGTTACATTTTGCGTTTGATTTTTTTAACAATATTTTGTTTTTTGTTACAGATCGACCAAAACGACAAAAAAAGAGGCAAGCTGGAGAAACAGGACTCTTTTATAGATCACGGAGGTAATGACAATCTATTATTTAATTAAATATTATTTTTAGCATTCGATTGTGAGATAATAATATGCTGAGACGAAGACGTTTTGCCGCAACTCTGCTCGTATTATTCTTTTTTTATTATTACACTAGCTTTTGCCCGCGGCTTCACCCGCGTGAAATGTAGTATTACAGATCGGCATAAATTATAGCCTATATGTTAATCTGGATTACAAACAATAATACTGTAAAGTTTCAACAAAATCCGTTCAGTAGTTTTTTCGTTAAAGAGTAACAAACATCCAGACATCCAAACTTTCGCATTTATAATATTAGTAGGATTGTTAAATATTGTAACGTAATGTCCGTGGTGCATTCGTTCGTTCGTTTCAGCCGAAAGACGTCCACTGCTGGACAAAGGCCTCCCCCAAGGATTTCCACAAAGACCGGTCCTGCGCCGTGGTGCATATCTTTTCTTAAGTGTTTTACTTAACCTTTGTTTTGTCTCCTGTCATCCGCTTTGCACTCTGAAAGGAAGTCGAACGTTCGAGTTCAAACTCCACCTAATATTATGTTCTGATTAATTTCGTTGCGGGCCCAATGACAGTTTAACTTTCCCCGGGACACACTTGACCTTCACTGGTTGGATTTTATTGGCGGTCAAGCTGTAGATCCTGGCTACACAAGAGTTGCAGCGGTAGGAACGTGAGGTGGGAATAGTTCCGTAATTGTAACTTGGTCAGCAATTTTATGTAAGTGTGCAGCAAATAAATGTTTGCTTACTTCCAGAGTGCGACTGCCCACCGCCGGAAGAGACCCGCAACAAATGTTGCTGCGAGTGCCGCCAAAACGACGCCTCTCAAAGGGACGCTGATAAGGTAACACTCATCATCATCATCATCATCCCTAAACACTTAGGCCCAGAACAGACGGTGAAACGCAACTGCAACTTTGTGATGATTCTGATGAATGAAACTGAAACTGAAAGTTTCAAACTGGTCGCGTCATGAGTGGTCTCTCAACGGACGCTATGGCAGAAACTTAGATGCAACTCAAAAGTAACTAGCATTTGCAGTTTCGTTGCAGTTGCGTTTCACAGTCTGTTCTGGGCCTTAGGGGCGTATTACAAAAAGTTAAACGCACCTTGAAACTAGTTTCAATTGTCATTTAATGACGTAGCACACTTATCAACCCGGAAAGGGATCGTAACCGTATCAACTCAATGCGGTCAGTATTCTTTGTAGGAAACTCCATACAGCAACGCCCACTTATCCGCACCGTAACGTAAACGCCTCGCCTACTGACAGCGCGCGAAAGGCGATGAATGAAAAGTTCTTTTGGCATGGCATAACATAACATAACAAGCATATAAGTAGCAGTGGCGGCGTAGCATGGGTTGGCACCCGGGGCGATCCACACCCCCCCCCCCCGTCCACAAGTCCTATGGCACCCCCTGGTACCCTCCAGGATTTTTGGGGTTACCTCGCGATTCGAAGATTGAAAGACAATCGCACCCCCCCACCCCCCTCGTATCATGACATAGACGGCAGATTTGCCATGCAGATGTGCCAGTGAGTACTAATCTGCGCGACTTGTGTCACCCCCTGATGCTTGGCACCCGGGGCGGACCGCCCCCACCGCCCCCCCCTTACGCCGCTACTGATAAGTAGCTTACGTTGGGGCTAGCTGGCGGTGTGTGAAATTGTCCAAAGATTTATTGTTATTATCTTTACAGCATACGTCAGACGAAAAGCAAGAGCCCCGGAGCCCTTGCAAGAATAACTACGAGTCAAACAACCAAGATTCAGAACAAGATATACAAAAGTCAGCTGAGAACAATTTTGAATGTGACACACAATATTCGCCCCAGTTGGCGTACGAGAGCTATGAAGGTTATGAGCAGGCCGAAACGGTGGCCGATCAGGGGGCACAATATGACACGCTGGCCGATCAGAATCAGGCTTACGAAGCGGTGGCCAATCAGAGCGGGCAGCAGTTTGACTCAGCTAGTCCGAGAACGCAGCAATTTGACCCGAACAATCAGAAAACGCAGCAGTTTGACACAAACAGTCAGAGAACGCAGCAATTTGACACAAACAATCAGAAAACAAAGCATTTTGACACAACTCGTCAGAGAACGCAGCAATTTGACCCAGACAATCAGAAAGCCCAACAGTTTGACACAGCCGGTCAGAGAACGCAGCAGCAATTTGATCCAATTAATCAGATAGCTCACCAGTATGACCCAACCAATCAGAAAGTGCATCAGTTTGAGCCTAACAATCAGGCAGCTCACCAGTTAGATCCGACCACTAAGAGAACGCATCAGTTTGACCAAAACAATCAGAGATCGCAGCAATTTGACCCAAATAATCAGATATCACAGCAGTTTGACACAAACATTAACAGAACCCAGCCATATGAGCTGACCAGTCAGAGGACGTCTCAGTTTGAGCCGGCCAGTCAGAGAACGCCACAGTTTGAGCCAGCGAATCAGTTGGCTCAGAGTGAAGAAGCGAAAGCCAATCAAGACAGCCACGAGATTCAGTATAACCAGTACGCAGTCAGAACTGATGAGGTAAGTCAGTTTTTTTAGGGTTTCGTAGTCCAAAGAGAATCTACACTACGCTATTTTTATTTACATTTTTACTCATAAAAATTGACTAGGATAAAATGAAATCAGGTGTCAATCGCAGAAAATGGCGGAGTAAATTTGAAGAATATACTATTTTTCAAATCGGTCAAGTAGTTTCGTATGTATTCAAGATGCCTGTTATGTGTTATCATGGGGGTCACTTAAAAATTAGGGATTGATGGTGAAAACGGGCATAATCCTTTCAAAGTCTTCAAACAAACAATGAAATCTTTCTTCTTTATAATAAATAATAATAAAAGTTTATTTAACAACTTTAACATACATTAGGTTAGGTTACATTTCTTTACATAGATACCACACATATTAGTGTAGATTTATGTACATGAAACTATATGTAATCGTTGCAATAATTAAATTACAAATCCTACTACACAGGATTGTTGCTATGTAATATAATAATTATCATATTTCTAATACGAGTTAACAGGAAAACTATTCCTTAATGAGGTCACTTATAACAATATGTTAAATTTTATGATTAATTCATTATACCTACATCTGACGTGACATGTTCTATCACTTTAAATTATCGTGTCAAAGCGCTTTTTAAAATACTATTTGCAGAAAATAAACTACTTTTGACTTTACTAGCTGACTACTACGTACAGCCTATGTTACTTTATTTCTTTTTTTTTGCTTTATTTTTAGTAGTGCTACCCCCCTTTATGCCCCCCCCACTTGCCATATGTTTGTCTCGAAGCGCTGGTAGGGCCCAAAAGATAAGGAAACATGTAAAGTGCCCCTTAAGGGCTACTTTTTTACTGTATTTTGACGTTCATAAGTGCCATTAGTGGTCTAAATTGAATAAAATGTATTTGATATGATATTGTGCCCCCCTGCTGACAACAGAGGGCCCCCGCTGAAAATCAACTTCGAGACAAGCCCTGGCGCGGTCTTGATGTATGCTGAGCGGGTGCCTTTTTGTCAGAGGGGCACAAGCAGTTAAAGCCTGGTCCGTGAGCACGTAGAATTTTGTCCAATGACCCCAAGCTACCCATCCTTATCGCTCGCGCGTAATTATGTTGCTGTCGCGACTGTGCGACGGGCGCCCGCAGTGAGTGTGCGAGCGCGACAGCCCATTTGTCTTTCATTATGTACCTATGTCTTTCCTGCTTGTATGTCTTTCTTTCAAATAAAAACTATTCTATTCTATATCCCTAAAAGTCCATGTATCCTGCAGGTAACATCGCCGCCTGAAAGCCAACCGTGCCAGCCGACGGAGTTGGCTCTCCAGAGCATGGCGCAAGCGAAAGCCACGCCCGTGTCTATACCAGACCCACACTTAAGTAAGTACACTTCGTTTCAGCCAAATGACGTCCACTGTCCACGACAAAGGTGACTGATGCCCGTTTTCATAGTGGTCACTTAGCAATTCCCTGCATGATCGAATCCGAAATGAGGAGATCCGCAGGAGAACCAAAGTGCTCGCAGAATTGCTAAAATCAAGTGGCAGTGGGCGGGGCACATAGCTCGTAAAGACGATGGCCGTTGGGGCAGAAAAGTTGTCGAGTGGCGACCACGGGCTGGAAGACGTAGCGTGGGCAGGCCTCCTACTAGGTGAACCGACGATCTGGTAAAGGTCGCGGAAAGAGCCTGGATGCGGGCAGCGCAGGATCGTGGAAAACCTTGGAGGAGGCCTTTGTCCAGCAGTGGACGTCATTTGGCTGAAAGGAACAAACGAGGGGTCACTAGGGATTGATGGTGAAAACGGGCATAAGTTTCTTCCGCCACTTCTTCTCAGCACCAGCCCATATGTTGTCCCGAAGTGGTGGTAGGGCAAGCTATATTTGGGACGTGTAAAAGTGTCCTGGAAAGGGCCTATGTACTGAATAAACTATTTGAATTTGAACTGCTGGTCAAAGCCCTCCCCCAAGGATTTCCATAACTACCGGTCCCGCATCCAGGCTCGTCCAGCGACCTTCACCAGATCGTCGGTCCACCTAGAGGGAGGCCTGCCCACGCTACGTCTTCCGGCCCGTGGTCGCCACTCAAGAACTTTTCTTCCCCAGCGGCCATCAGCTCTACGAGCTATGTGCCCCACCCACTGCCACTTTATTTTAGCAATTCTGCGAGCTATGTCGGTGACTTTGGTTTTCGAAAGTACACTAAATCATCATTATCGTCATCATCATCAGAGGTGGAATTGTGTAAAGCAATCGTAATCATTTGACAGTTCATAACGTACGATAAAGTCAATTAAACAAAGCGTTTGACAGAATAATCGTATGTTATGAACTGTCAAATGATAACAATTGCTTTACACAATTCCACCTCTGGTCCCCACTGCCAACACGACCCTCTCTTTACCAGAGGCAAATGGAGGATGATAAAGCTGAAGTTCGAACTCTTCCTATGTTCTTCTGATTAATTTCGTTGCGGGTCCAATGACAGTTTAACTTTCCCCCGGGACAAACTTGACCTTCACTGGCTGGCTTATTGGCGGTCAAGCTGTAGATCCTGGCTACACAGGAGTTGCAGCGGTGGGAACGAGAGGTGTGAATAGTCAATAAGGAAAGTGGGAATAATCAAAACAATTTGTTCACAGGGCCGATGTCAATCAACAATGTGGTTTACCCCACGATGCATCAGGGGTACCCATACATCAACCAATGTCGCATGGTGAGTAACACATAGATTAAGGTAAAGGTGGAAATACATTACAACGATCGCGCAAATGGTACCAATGGAAGCAAAAATTCAAAATTCCACGCCTCTTTTTCGATGTCTTTATTTCTTGTTTAAAAAAATAATGGCTAGTTCGATTCAATAACATACTTAACCCCTAACCAAGCTCTGGTATCCACAGAGCCCACATCAGTTTAAACTCTATGCTGTGAAAATACGGTTGAAAACGAATGACTTTTTTTTAGTCTAATCTCTAAATGAGTTCCCATTAGAGCTCTTTCCGTCGGGGACCTCCTGTTTTTTGCAGCATCCCGTTTAGTAAATAATATATGTGTTTAATGCTAAAAATTCACACGATAATCCGGTTTTTAGTGCCCCGCATAAAACTGATCCGTTCGAATTTGCTATTCAGATTTGTATTTAAACCGTACCTGCAAAAATCGGGATACTGCCGTTTGCCGTTCGGTTTGATGAACACACAAGTCCAGTTTTGCGGCATTCAATAATGCAGGATCTCTTAAAACTGGATTGCTGTGAGAAAGGGCTCTTACAGGTTGCCCATAGTAATGCTCATTGCTCGGTTCGCGTCCTTCACTGATGTAATGCTCGACTCTAACGTTACAAGCAAATGCTCCAGGTGAGTGAGCACCTTAATATGTATAATCCACAATGACAGTGCGTCATCTACTGTACTTTTCTTTAATTTGTTGTTATTAAATTATTAATTTAACATGAAATGATAATAAATATTAGAGCGAAATATTTGTTTCTGATATTCGGTATGCAGACACAAATATGTTTTTCCAAATAGTCATCTACATTAATAATAATATGACTAATAATAATTTATAAATCATATCAAATACATAGCCTCAAATTAAAGTGAACTTTTACTCCAAAAACGACAATGAGGGTTTTTTTTTTAAATTCCGTTTACTTATTTCCAACAACTGTAATAGATATTTCGATAGTATGGAAAAAAAATGATTTTTATAAGTTGCACGTTTGTTACTTTACTGCCTCCGAGTCCTGCATCTACATATTTAGAGCAATGGTTCCCAAACTTATTTGAGACGCGCCCCCTTTCGACCATACAAAAAATTCCGCGCCCCCCTCATTCAGTCAAGATTTATTTATTGGTTGTATCGGGCAGTCTGGAATGCATTCTCTCAGCGGCCGCAGGTTTTTTACTTAAGTACACAGATGGCCCTCACCCCCCTTTAAAGGTCTTTGCGCCCCCCACTTTGGGAACCACTGATTTAGAGGTAGTGCAGTATCTTTTGGGGGGCGATATGTTTTACATCCTGTGAGCTTAGGATCTGTTTCCCCAGGTGTAGCTATGCTTGCGTAGTCCGTGATTTTTTACAAACAACCTGTATAAAATATCCCTGTGACAAACTAATAGTGAGTGAATGAGTTTGTTCCGGCGTTTCTTCTCAGCACTTGCCATATGTTTGTCTCGAAGCGCTGGTAGGGCCCAAAAGATAGGGAGACATGTAAAGTGCCCCTTAAGGGCTACCTTTTCTTTTTTTATTATTTACTATATTTTGACGTTCATAAGTGCCACTTGTGGTTAGAGTTGCCAGGCGTCCGGCTTTTTAGGGACTTGTCCGGCCAAATATTGCCTTGTCCGGCCTGTCCGGCTTTTGTTAGGCTTTTTATTTGGTTGCCGCGCCAAGCGAAAGTCGAACCACAGAATCATATGAAGCGCACGCATCAGGATGTTGGTTAGCAACCGATGCTGAGAGTACTCACTCATGAGCTGACCCTGTGGTTTAAATTGAATAAATATTTTTGCTTTTGAATACATAACTGAATAACCCACAGGAGCCGACGATGCCGGTGTATCAGCAAGTGCTGGGTCCGCCGGAGGATGCCAAGCAGATGACGTCACCGCCCCACCAAGAGCCTACCTTCAGAATCGGTATGCACTGTGCCATTTAGTGGCAGACTTAATGCCACCTGGCATTTAGTCCGCTACTGTACAGTTGTATGTGCAAAAGTGTAAATAAATAAATTTATCCTAACACCTAGAAAACGCCTAACTTACAACCCGATTGAGTTAAATGCGCACCTGTACGGCTAGCACGATAAACTTTCGAGTTCGAATCGTTTGCGTATTCGAATCGCCATCAAAAGATTTAGTACATAAACTACAACAGCGCCTTTGTGAACGTGTCGTAAAGTGAACTTAGTATGAGAAATGGTGGCATGAAACTTATTTTGAGAGTCACTTTATCTATTGATTCGACGGTTGAGTATCGAATTTTGTCGAATACGCAAACGATTCGAAGACGAAAGTTGTTTGCTAGAGGTATGCTGTATTGCTGGCCGCCATGACGTCACATCGCCGCTCTGGTACGGACGGGACGAACGCGGGGAGTGTGGATACAGGCAACTAACCGGTCAATTTTGAAATCATTGGGGGAGGCCTATGTTCAGCATTGGACGTACTGTGGCTGAAATGATGATGATGATTTTAATTATGAAGACAATGAGGCAAATAAGGGTAGTGATCATAGAGATCTAGAGAGATGCCAAGCAATGCGCTGAGTTCAAAACCCAGTGTCGCTTTAGAAATTCACACACACAAAGTAATCAAAATAAAAACAATACCTTACGAAGAGTGTGTGTCAAGCACACATTGCAATAAGTGCGGCTATTCGTTCGCATACCAGGATACAAGTAATGTACTTAAAGCTACTACATACGCGGTCACGGTATTCTGTTAATTTAAATATGCTCATTATTCACTGCGGTATCAGTTCTCAACGTTCGAATAATCTTTAGTACTACGCAAGCAATGTAATATGTACCTACTTAACACATAACGTCAACTGCATGGCATATTGCTGTCGCGAGCAATGTGTTCTGTTTTTGGGCATATTGCTGCGACACCGGCCCCGCCCCCTTTTCACATCTCCCTTTTGTTTATGTGATCTGTAGTGGTGATACCAGGCCTGTTCATCTCCGCGAGTTTACATCGAAAACAAAACACGCACGATGGCCCACCTACAGGATACTATTCGACAAGGCCTCACATACGAGCGAACATGACTCACGCACGCGTATTCTTGTGTATGATGGAAGAAAATAAAGAAAATGGTGTACTAAATACTGTGCAGTATTTAACTGACTAAATAATAATAAAAACACAGAATGTACTTTTTAAATTGCCTCAAGACACTGGGAGGTAAATAAGTAGTTAATATTATTCATGATAATTCATGCTAAATTATGTATTTCCTCCGCCATTTTCCGCAGTTTGGCACCTCACGTCACATCATTTTACCGAAGTCAGCCCTATAGCTTTTGCGCAGTGCCGATCACTGACGTTTGTCAACAAAATGGTGCTAGACTCTTGAGACAGCCAAAATTACACCATATTGTTAATGACATTGAACATACATTTTTTTAAATACCTTCGCGAAGTAAAACTTCTGTACGTAGGTAGTACTTATTATTATTCTGTGGCGATATTAAGATGCGTGTACATTGCCCACAGATCCCAGTTACCCGTACGCAGCGGTTGATTACGCGGCGCAGTGCGGCGCGTGCGTCGATCCCAACGCTATGAGAAGGTACGTAGATATAATATTTTTCAACGTGAAATTGTGAACTCTGTCAGTTTATAATATAACGCGTTAGATTGTAAACTAACAGTGGGTTAGGTTAGGTTAGATTGTAATTTAACTACTTCAGATTATAATCTGACGGAATTCACAATTTTACGGTGACATATTGATACTTCTTGTGTGTTTTCTATGAAACTGTGTTCTTCAAACACGAACTCTTAGGCTGAGTTGCACCACCTAACTTTAACCGTAACTATAACGATATAGATCGTTTCATCCACTCGGACGCGCCCCACCATTCTTCCGCTAATGTTTGAGTGTTATCGGTACACGCTAAATGATCCATGAGTGCACACGCACACTACAGTAATGCCTTACGGATTGCTCGGACCACACTCCCCGCACCCCGCGCGACCGAGACCAAACATTAGTGGGACGCGTCCGAGTGGATATAGATCGTTTGAATAACAGGTGTTTTTGTACGGAATTTGACAGATTTTTGATGTTTGTTAAAGTTAAAGTAAGATGGTGCAACCCAGCCTTAATCGTTTAACTGTTTGTCTGCAATAAATTGTCGTAAAAACAGATCGTTTGCGAAAAAAGAGAAAAATGTTGGTATTAATTTTCATAAATAAACGATAAAACTGAATAAGCTAATAAAATACAAAAAAATGTGTCCATAATGAAACATATTTATTTCGAGAAACTTTTTGGGCTGAAAAACTTATCGAAGTTAATGGATATTGTATAAAACACTATGTAATAATATTTATTTATTTTATTTATTCCATCTTTAATAGCAAAGAGTAGATATACAAGGCAAACTTAATCCAATGAGCATTCTCTTCCAGTTAACCATGTCTTAAACAATAAACTATGTTATATTCTATTATTTTCCAGCTACAACCTACCGTACGGGCAAATGGAGATTCCGCAAGCGGTATTACCGCCTGCCTACCCTGTAGGCAACGTCATCATACCGCAGCCGCATATACAGTACCCGGTGAGTTGTATTGTGGACCTTGAGAGCAGGGTCATAAGGCTACAAAAGTTGTATATTCCCACTGTCTTCAAGTGCTAACTTATTCGACTACTTGCTTTGTTTTTTTCGTAGATAAACTTACCAGAGACGAATCGATTCAATTTAATTCGTTTATACACTTATGTTTACGTCTACCTTGTGGACTGTCTGTATAACTTAGTGGAAAAATGTAACTAAATAAAAATATTATTTTGTAAATCATTTAAAGGACATATCATACTAAAGTCCGGTCGCCGAGCAGATACAATTTCGTCGAATGACCCCAAGCTATCCATCCTTATCGCTCGCGCGTAATTACATTGCTGTCGCGACTGTGCGACGCGCGCCCGCAGTGAGTGTGCGAGCGCGACGCTTGGGGTCATTGGATGAAATTCTATCTGCTCGGCGACCGGACTTTAAATGCGGTCTGGTCTGGTCTGGACATGACAGGTCTGTGGTCAGGTCAAAGTAAACGCAGCCCGCATCCAGTTTGCCAAATCCGTATTGCATTAATTTGCTTCCAGTACCAAGAGGCGGCGCAATGGGCGGGCGGCCCGCTGGTTCCTCTGGGCGGGAAGCTGATACTACCGGAGCCCTACCCTGCGCTCTACCACCAGCTCTACCAATGCGGCCTCGTCTACCCTCCGGTAAGTCTCATAAAAAAAACTCATAAAACTCATTGATTTCTGCAAATAGGCTTTAAAAAAGCATTTTTACATGTCCCAGTATTAACCCTACCACTGCTTCAGGACAATAAATGGGCCAGTGCTGAGAAGCAGCGCAAGAAACTCAGTCGCTATTAAATGCGTGGACCTCTAACTTTTGGGCCCATCGTAATGGCGCATTTTCATTAGTCGATAACTCGTTCGGTATACACAGCATGCGCGGACTCCCCGCATGCGAGATAACGACCAATGAAAGTTGCAAGTCGATACGCGTTCGGTACAACGCCTGCGGGGATTCCCCGCATGCATTATACCGACCGTGCTATCGACCAATGAAAAGACAATGCCGGAAATTGGTGTCTTTTTTTTTTCACGCGGCCATCGACCAAACCATGTTTTTTGGATACAAAATAGTGTAATAAACCAAACTTACTATGACATGTATACCTTTAAACTCAGTCTGAACTGAGTTACGAGCATTAGAAATTTGATGATTTACATACTAGATTTGCTTTTTGCGCGCAAGTTTTGTAAGAAATTGCTACAAAATAGTGGCATTGTATGTGTAAACAAACAATACCATCCATTAAAGGCTCCAGACATCAGTGTGGAGTAGAATCAGCGCAATAAAAAAATAGCGCAATATTTTGTTGCAATTTCTTACAAAACTTGCGCGCTAAAAGCAAATCTAGTATGTAAATCATTAAACTTCTAACGTTCGTAACTCAGTTCAGACTGAGTTAAGAGGTATACATGTCATAGTAAGTTTGGTTTATTACACTATTTTGTAATCAAAAAATAAAGCTTGGTCGATGGCCGCGCGAAGAAAAAAAGACGCCACCTTCCATACAAAATCTGGCATTGCCATTTATCATTCAGATTTTCTGACGCGCCATGCCTGTTTCTATTTTTTAGTAAACTCAGCACCCAGATTGCGGGCCCTGTGGCACGCGTTCCAGAAATCTCTCGCACGCCGCATGCGGACGCTATCGACTAGTGAAATTGCGTCATAAATACACTATTGACTATTATCTTTGTTCATTACATTCGTATGTTACATCGTACGTTACATTCCCTCCAATATGGTCGAGTGAAGCGATGGCTGGTTCACTCGTCATGTCTGTGAACAGGCGCTGCTTTCGGGGACTGGTCAATCCAAGTTATTCAAATTTATGTATGCGAGTCATTTCTACTAGTATCTTAATATGTAAGTCTAGATATTAGCACGTNTTTCTTATACTGCGTGCGGTCGTTGCGCGTGCGCACAAAGGAATGAGACCGCTCGGACACCGAGCCCACAGCGTGGTAGGGGTGGGGTTGCCCGCTCTTTTGTTTTTTACTACTACTACGCTGAATATTGTGTGCGGATAGGCTTGTCGTACAGGGGTACTACACGGTAAAATAAATCTCGGAGGCGAAAGCAGGATAATATAGTAGCATACATTATAATGTGATGTAGAAAGATTAAACTTAACTGTGTCGTATCAAGTTACAACATTTGTTAAAGTAATATCAAGCTTCTCAAGTAGGTTACATGATTTACTAGTACGTTTTATACGATGAAGTGGTCAGTGTGACTGTGTTACGTATAAATAAATCCAAGGACCAGGCTGAGAAACGACAAGGCATATAGGGCTTTGTTATCTACTGAAAAAGATTAGACTTCTATGTAGGGACTTACTAAGCTCGTTGTTGTACCTATTGAACTGATATTGCTTACCAATAAGTAGGTATCACATGAACGTCCACACGCAACTTATATTCTCAACAGCTGATCTAATGGAAGTCTTCGATTAAGTAATAACATGTAAAACCCTATCCTTTATGGAAAGATTTATCCTTTATAATAAATAACAAAGATTGACGAAAACTCATCAATGGAACCCAAAACATTAATTAAAATTAGGTACGCGCGTGAAACCGTGGTTAATCCTTAATTAATAGCTTGGTAATCCATACTATAACTCTCCCGAACGATGTTTACTTCCGGTACTTACTTCTCGTTCAACCGTTGTAGAGGCGTGGTGACCGTTGATTGACCTTTGTAAAATTGACCTTAACGTCCTTAGCATTTAAAGAAATAAAATAAAAAAACGTATTGTATTGGATTGGGTTCCAGCTAATTATAATTTTTAATTGAATATTTAGTAGGTAGGTACATTAGGTATAGCACACCATTAATAATTTTCCGAAATTGTTGGGCAGAATAGTGATTTTTATCATGTTTTTTGGCAAAAATGCTACAACGCACCTAGCGTCAGCTTTAGCGCTCAATGTTCTATTATTGGTAAAAAGGGGTCACCAATTTGTAAGCTAAACAGCCACCTAAATGAAAACCCCGTGTTTGAGTGCTAGGTTTATATACATTTGATCCAACATTTTACAGTATTGGAACTTTGTCTAGGATACTTTTAGATTACCTGCTTATTTATTTAGATATCACAATATTTATATCGTGACTATCGTTGATTAAGGCCTTGTAGTCATCACGCGTTAAGAAAGACATGCAGATTTAAAAAAAATCGTAAGTGGGATTGAGTGTATTCGCAAATACGCGGGACATCCGTACGACAAGGTCACATCAATAAATACAAAATTAGCGCGTCTGTATTGCTAACTTACTTTTGCAATGCATTTCGTGCAAACAAACTGAACAAATAATATTTCATATTATGATTCACATCACACAAGCCTCTGCAAGAATAGGTACTAGGTATCTAGTATAAAAAATAAATAGGTACCTAGGTACCTACCTACTCGATGGAGTTTAATGATAATACTCGAATAGTAATCGAAAAAGATGTTGTTGAAATTGAATCTTTTCCCCCGCTTCTTGACAAGCCTTCCTGACGACCTTAGCCCAGTTGCGCAGTGACAATGGCGGCCGATATAAACCGATCATGCGGGCAATTAATCAATCCGTCGCGTCGCGGTGATCGGGTTTAAAACTTAAAAACAAGTTATTTAACCAACGCTCTTGAAAACTTCAGGGTTATGCTTTAAAATGGCGACATGTGTATCTTTAACTGTTTGCCTACTTAACTAACGAAAGAGTACTGGGTTTTTACCCGACTGCGCCAGAAGGAGGGTTATGTTTTTAATCCAATTATTTAGTCCGTACATGAAGCATTTAATTTTGTCAAATCCGCGATTCCGATTGTGTAACTACACCTGCTTAATAGGTACTCGTAATATCTAACGTCACGGTGTCTTTCATTTTCATTAGAAAAAGTTTTACAGCAGCTAGAGTGAAAGACCTATCTACCTAGCAGTAATCTTTCTAATACGAAGATCTTGTTTCGAATTAGTTAAATGGTTTAGTCCGGCGGTGCACTAACTTCATTAAAAAGTTCTTTTATTGCACTGTTCCACCACAACTCAATTAGTTTTGATCCTTAGCTAGATTCAGTTATTTTATTTTATTACAAGATGCTGTTGGGTAATTTAAGACATTTAAGTACTTTTTTACGGCTTAGTTTGGACTTTATTGCTTGTTTACCGATGAAATCATGTAACTTATATTATGATACTTAACACATTTAACACAAGGCTAAATCCAAATAACAACTTTCAAAGTAAGTAGGTATGTCTTATCTTACAACATATTATGATATGTTCTTAGGATTATGTGGTAATATCATAAGTAAACTTTCATCACAAAGAGAGCAATCTATCTATCGAATAAGAACTTCTCGTAATATCCAAGATTCTCAGACTGTGACGAAATATCTGGCCGAAAAAAAAATCGCCTCTTCAATGTAACTCAATCAATACGTTCTCACGTATTTTATAATAATGATCTGTAATTGCCGGTAATTGGTTTTTGCTCTCAAGATATTGCAGTAAAAAACAGCTCCAGTTTTTGTGGCGACTAATATTCTCAGTTCAGTGATCTTAAGTACGATTCATGATATTCAAACTTTTCCGAATTTGTAGTCATTTGTTTTACGTAAACTTACGCCAGTAATATTATTGATTCAAGTATTTTTATTTACCTAAAACAAAATGTAGGTATTACTGAATATTGGTTAGGATAAAATGTCCCCAGAGACGCCGATTGGGAATACGAAATATAGGGCGGATAATATTTAATAGATAGCAGCAAAATTATTTTCCAAATCGCATTTAAATAATCATGTGACATTTTCAATTATGGACACAGAACTGAAGATTCTAATACAAATGGACAATACTCTTTCGTTGCGCTGGTATGTTTGCTATAAGTGCATGATACCTACCTAACATCTATTACTCACGTTTATCTATTCAAAGAGCACCTAATATTATAACTAAGTGCAGTGGTATACCAATAAAGTGCCACTGATGCAATAATTGCATCTTTACTATGACAACATTACACGAAAATGACAGATATTATAATTATTTCGTATTCACCCACTTTAAAATTAAAAGCCACTTTGCAGTAAGACACTTTAATATGGCGAAACTAGTGCCGCAGCTTATTAAGAACATTAGGTGCTTGACAGTGTATTATAATAACGCAATAAACGATTTTAAACCGTAACGTTACGGAAATAACGCTTGTAGAGACTGTCATGTCGGCTTCATAAGTGCACGCATAATTCAATTCTTGCGATAACCAAGTTTGCAGGCGCAAAATATTTATATGAAATGGCGTTTCATTATAGAGGTGGTAGGGTGTGTTGTGTACCTATGCTGCATATCGTTGAATGTACAAATTAAATTATTAAACATAGATTTCATTTTTAACAGATTGATTGGAAGCTAGGTGTAACAACCTATTTTACTTATGAAAAACTAATACATTCGGCACGATATATATACAATTTTATTAATGAAAACTATATTAATATATAAACATTGCTGAAAAAGTTCTGCGATTACTAATCAACAGATAGATTACAAACGAATACGAACGTAGACCGCTTCGAGGTGAAAATTGAATCAAACAATCAGTATAAAAGCATTTTGATAGAAAAAATTAAATCCTAATGTTATTAGCCTCACAGAACTACACAGACAGCAAATTCTCACAGATGTGCCTTATTACATTCAATTAAAAAATCCTAATTGTTTCTACAAATGAATAGAGCGACGTGAGAAATTGTTACGCATGTGGACAGACATTATTCACATTGTTAATTTTGTCATTGTGTGCATACCAATCTACCGATGTGTCTTTGTTTTATGTACCCAGTGATATTAACAGATGATCCGTCTTAGTCGGGGTTTAAAATAGAAGTCAGGATAGATCTATTACATTACAGTCCATTAAATTCACACCGTCCAGGAATAAGTTATTATAATAATTAATATTAACTAATTGCTCGTAAATTGTTTGTCAATTGCAAAAAATATGTAACATATCAATTATATCAATCTATAGATAAGTTCTGTAAGTAACGTTACATTTTGTTAATGATAGACTTGATTCAGCCGTAGTGTCACAGTAAAAGAAAAGAGCTGGAGTTGAATTTTAAAGTCTCTACCTACATAAAAACGTTGAGTAGATCTTTAGCGCCATGTCATAAGACTGACGTATACTAACTTACTCGTAAAATAAAATTGCAGAGATTTAAACGATACAAACGTGTAGAATTTCGGGGGAAGTCAATACAAAAAATAGTACGCCACTCACGAGTGAATAATATCCACTGGCATGTTTATTTCGGGATTGTCTTTCGCTCTCTGTCATTGTACGAGTAATAATCTACTTGCAAGCCAAGTAGTCGCTACGCATTTCGTTTAGCCGATGATATTTTAATTTATTAGCAATTTGACGCTACCACACGTGTAGCAGATTGATTTATAAACAACGTTCAGATGTAGGTATTTGCAACCATATGATTATACTGTTTGATCTACATGATTTAAGTAGACAAATAAATAAATAGTTGTGGCAGTCCGCAGTCCGCATTAATAGGATTAAAGCCTTAAGATAAAAAGATCTTTTTTTTATCAAATCCATTTTCTGAAATAACAAAAGGTTTTTATATCTTTGGATATCATTTTCCTTTTAGTCTAGATCTGTTTGTAGACCGCTTCAGTCGAGGCGGAAAGTTCGAGTCGAACAAACTAATCCTCCGGATACTTCGACAGGCGCCGAAGTGTTTAAATTCAACCCGTAGTCTGAAGTCGAGCTGCAATCGTTATGTTAACTGGAACTCGGTGACAGTATCTTTGTGTTGTGATTGAAATTGCAACTAGATTGTTCAGGCCAATATTATATTGAAAAACATGGTGAATTTTGCATAGAGTTACCTCAGGCCAATACAAAATAGATAGTTTCTCTGAATTTGTCACTTAAATAAGTACACGTCCCAAAAATATGAGTCACCTTTTTCCAAAACCGTAAGATTATTATTATCTAATCGTGCTGGAGGAGAAATGATGAAAGATAATTCATTTTATACGTCATAGTTATCTCCCGTCTGATAACACAAGCCAAGTGGCAGAATCCGCCTCTGAAGATAACATAAATGCAAATCAACCGAAAACAGAATTTGTGAAAAAGAACTATACTTTCAGCATACCAAAATATTTCACTATCGTTGTTATAAACTTTCTAAGCAGTTATAACTAAAGAGTACCGGATAACGAGTGCTGAAGTGTTAAGCTGAAGTTATTATCCCAACTTAGTTTATGTCTCTGGGGAAGCAGGCCGGGCTGAAATGAAGTCTACTTCTGCAAAATAACTTGTTAGCGAAAAGCTTTCCAATAACCTTGCCAATGATATTGGTTTCTTGTTTGTAACATCTTTGTTTTGAAATACAATAAGTCGGTGAGTTACCAATGGACACGTTTGAAGATTGACCAAATGGAGCATAGTTAGTTACTTCTCTTAGATGAGAACACCAAATTCTAAACTCCGAAATAAGAATCACAGTGAATTTCTCAACAATAACAGCATTATTAACACATCTCTTTGTTAAGCTCCGCTAATGAGCACTATTAGAAGGCGTTTCTAATAAACTGATAGCAACTAACACTGCAATTGACTGCATGTAGACGGTGTTAAGTGAATAATAATGGAATGTTCATGCCATTACACATCGCAACTGGGGTGTCACGGGCTGAAGAAAGCGGATACTGGGTGAGAGTTATGCATTCATGTCTGATGATCATGATTGATAACTCCAGGAACATCTTCATGAGGTTAGAACAATACATCATTGAGGTTACATAGGTCAAGTTCAAATGATCTCATCTTAGCCTCCCAAACGATTGTATCGCTCGTCAATTACCGATTTTTAGTGGTTGTTATGTCCAGTTAGAACGCGGATTTGCAAGCTTGTTTTTTTAAGTGGGCTTTTTGTTTTAGTGTTTGAATGTTACCTACTTTATTTTGATTTATGTTACAAGTATTTATGTGTTATTAAACATCTAAACACAAATCTATGTCTATTAGTGGTATTAGTACCATTAGTATCTAGTCGCCTGATTATACATAGGTATCTAATATTAACGTAAATTAGACCTAATTTCTCGATTTAAACTTATTTTTTCTAGAATTTCCTTAACATCGTGTTAAAAAAACAGATATTCCCAATCACGTAAAAATTAGTAAAAACCTAGTTCTAAAGTTTTAGTCTGGCATAAAAGAGTCTAGTTTATTGAGATGTAAAGTTCACATTCGTCTGATCTGTTTACAATTCCTCGTCGCGACTTTTTATCTGTTTCTTATCCCAAAATAAAGCTTGACATTGGATTACGAAAGTTCTATCTTTGCGAAGTCTAATTTTATAAAATGTCGGCACGACGACTCAGCTAGGAACGCTTCTAATTAGTTGTGTTACAAAATTTTTATGTTAAGGTGCAATTCTAAAATAAGCAAAACAAGTAATAAAAAAAATCTTACAACACTTTAATTTCATTTCGTAATATTATGAACACCTTTGTGAAGAGTGATTTGTGTTTGTATTTGTTGCACACACATGAAAATAAAATAANGATACACCATACAAGAATGCATGGTAAATTCAGTGAACTGCTCCTGAATCGAATGTACCTACTACTACTATTTATATTTATTTATATTAACCGGCAGACAGTGGTGACTGAGTTTGTTGCGGCGCTTCTTCTCAGCACTTGCCAAATGTTGATCTCGAAGCGCTGGTAGGGTAAAAAGATTATGAGACATGTAGAGGCTCCTTAAGAGCAAAATGACGATTTGTAAGAACTATTTATTAGTCTAAACAAATAAAGAAATTTTGACTTTGACTTTGACTTTGTTCCCAGGTGATGCCGGCTCCCAGTCCGGTGTGGGCCCCGGAGCCCCGGCCCGCGCCGCCGCCGCGTCCGCACTGCAGTCGCGCCGTAAGTACATATAAAACTTTTAACATTTTGCCTTATGCCGTCCCAAAAATCATTTCAGCCATAGGACGTCCACTGCTAAACATAGGCCTCCCCCAATGCTTTCCATGTTACCCGGTTGATAGCGGCCTGCGTCCATCGCCTTCCTGCTACCTTTATGATGTCGTCGGTCCACCTTGTGGGTGGACATCCCACGCTGCGTTTTCCGGTACGCGGCCTCCACTCCAGAACCTTGCTGCCCCATCATCCTATGTTCAGCAGTGGACGTCCTATGATGATGATGAAGGCAGATATATGGAGCAAAAATAGCAATGATTGATTTCTCGAAAACGATTCGTGTGTGACGATTGTAGTGTGCAGAGGTAGCAGTGTAGGGTTCCGTAGTTGTCCGTCGTTACCACAATATATTTCTGAAGCAAGCAATTACTTCATCTAAAGTCACTTTTCATATTTTCTTCTAAGGAATTTTTACTGATTAAGAAATTGTATAATACATTAGTCAAATGACTATTACTCTTAAACTAACTGATCTATCTTAACCGTTATAGTTTTCCTTGAAAGTTCATGAAAATTAGTATTATTACGAATTTTTCCAGATTTTTCAAGCCAACAGTTTAGTTTTTAGAGGGGGGAGTGGGGACGCCCTACTCGAACAAAAATTGTCACTTTAAACTTTAATAATTAGCAAACAGATCCCTAAATGGAAAAATAGTCTTAGAAACCCCTAAGCCCTTTTTAAAAGACCTATCCAACCATGCCCCACACGATGGGGTAAAAGATGAAAAAAATAATTCATCCACACTTTACATATAGGGGAGCTACCCCATAAAAAAAAATCCAAATTTTATTTTACCGTTTTGTCGGCGTGATTAATATACATACCTCCACAAAATTACAGCTCCCTAGTGCCAATAGTTTCCAAGCAAAACCTCGGACAGACAGACATATCGAAACTATAAGGGTTCCTTGTCAGGACTACGGAACCCTAAAAAGGAATTAGTACGCCATATCCAAATGTTTGTTTAATATGGTAGGGGCTACATTTTCAACATTGATTTAATACCTATTTGTGATTTGATTTGATTTCATAAGACCTCATAGATGCTCCTTGGTTGTTACAGTCGCCGGCAAGACGAGATTCAGACGAGATAGCTGTGAAGATCCAGCAGATCAAGGAACAGATGGCCGAGCTGAATACGAGGGAAAAGGAACGAGGCACTTATAACAAGGTATTTTTTTATCCACAACGAGGAAACTCTTGGCCTACACAGCCGTGCTAGCTAAATCAACAATAAATCCAATATTTTGGTGTAAAATATTTTTTTTTGTTAGTGTTTTGCCAAAAAAATAGAGTTACTACTGATATCGCTAGCACGGCAATACATCTCACCTGATGACAATGATGATCAGACTGAAGGTGGAAGCAAGCTTCACCACGAATCCTTAACCATAGGAACTGGCTATCTTACCTCCAATTAAGATGGATTACTTCTACGTATAAATAAAAATAAAAACTTAGCTGCTGAAATGATTTTGATAAAATTCTATTGTAACTTAAGTCCGGTCGCCGAGCAGATAGAATTTCGTCCAATGAAACCAAGCTAACCATCCTTATCACTCGCGCGTAGTTATATTACTGTGCGATGGGCGGCCGCAGTGAGTGCAAGCGCGACAGAAATATAATTACGCGCGAACGATAAGAATGGGTAGCTTGGGGTCATTGGACGAAATTCTATCTGCTCGGCGACCGAACTTTAACCGGAACATCAAATTAAATATTTTCAAGCTGTTTGTAATAAACGAAGACCTGGGGTTTGCAATAAACATACACTCGAATTGAGAACCTCCTTTATTTTTAAGTCTTAAACATATCGAAATTGTGTTATCATGGAGACTAAATTTCAGAAAATGTATCATAAAACGACGTGATGAACCGACGACCCTAAAAGACAGAAGTTGTATTGTTATACAACTCTTTATTTGGACTCTGTTGAGTCCAAATTTTTTTTTTATTTGTAGACCCTTTTTAGGGCACACTATACACGTCTCAATATAGCTTACTCCATCACCAATTGACAGCTATTGTTGTTGGCTGAATTGATAACGATGATGTTTTACGTACAGGTCGAGAGCACATACAAGGGGCCGCCCCGGGAAGAGTGGCGCAAACGGAACAACGGCAGCGGGATATTGGGCAACTACCCGCACGGCTTCCAGGGACGGACGCGCTTCGAGGGGTTAGTACTTACTTATTAAGGGGGGGGGGCACTTGGGCAGTTGTGGCGCCATTCTAGTACTTATGGCACATGTTTAGCACTCGGTGGAAACCGTGCACAATCAAAAATAGTTATTTTAAAAATTATGTGTCTTACAATAGATTGGTGTTAAACAGTTCAAAATTCACATTCAAATATTTTATTCAGTACATAGGCCCTTTCCAGGGCACTTGTACACGTCCCAAATATACATAACTTGCCATACCACCACTTCGGGACAACATATGGGCTGGTGCTGAGAAGAAGTGGCGGAAGAAACTCATGCCCGTTTTCACCATCAATCCTTAATTTTTAAGTAGCCCCTAACAGGAATTGTTTACATAGGGGTCACTTAAAATTAGGGATTGGTGGTGAAAACGGGTCATCAGTCACCTTTGTCAGCCAGTCGTTAAAATAATAAAACTACTGCACTGATTTCAAAAATTCTTTCACCGTTACAATACTACATTATCCGACTATTCCTGACTAACGTAGACTATAGCAGAAAGGGCTCACAGGCGAAGCCGCTGAAAAATGCTTTTTTGTTTGATACTTAGTCAGAAGGGTATCTTGGACTTGTCATGCTCACTAAAATGTCTTTGGGGTAGTGGCGTGTGAGGCGGGTCGCTACATTCCCTACAATATGGTCGAGTGAAGCGATGGCTGGTTCACACGTCATGTCTGTGAACAGGCGCTGCCTTCGGGGACTGGTCAAGACAAGATATACCTACCTTAAATTTTTTAACATAACAATTAACAATCAACTTGACAGTGGCACGGCATTAAATATAAGTATATACAATTTATTTAAAACTACCACACGGTTTTGTTATGGTGCCTTGCTTTTCTCTCTAGAGTTTTCTTGCCTTGTCTCCTAAATAGTTTTATATCTGGCACTTAGCCAGAAGGATATCTTAGACTTGTCATGCTCACTAAAATGTCTCTGGGGTAGTGGCGTGTGAGGCGGGTCGTTACATTCCCTATAATATGGTCGAGTGAAGCGATGGCTGGTTCACACGTCATGTCTGTGAACAGGCGCTGCCTTCGGGGACTGGTCAAGGAAAGATATACCTGACATAAAATATATGTATCAAAACGCAACAATTAACCTAGAAATTAGCACGGCACTAAAGAAATTTATTCAAAACTGCCACGCGGTCTCATGCTAGATGGGCGTCTTAAAGGCCACCTTCTATCAACGGGAGCGCGTGGTAAGTAACTTGCTTCTGAATGTATGTAACTTCCTACTTTTTTATTTTTAAACCGGCAGACAGTGGTGACTGAGTTTGTTGCGGCGCTTCTTCTCAGCACTTGCCAAATGTTTGTCTCGAAGCGCTGGTAGGGCAAAAAAAGAATGAGACATGTATAGGCTCCTTAAGAGCATTTGACGATTTGCAAGAACTAATTTAATTAGTCTAAACAAATAAAGATAATTTTGATTTTGATTTTTGATTTTGATAACTATGGATGATGAACTTTGAAAACCATGCTGATTTTCTATCTTATGTTTTCGTGTGATTGTGAATACGAAAATTATTTATTTCCCAAATATGAATAAATGAATTGCCAGTGTCTACAGTCCTGACGTATATTTTTTATGAAAGAACTAAAAAGAAATATATAAATATTTTTTATTTATTTATTTATTGTTGTGTTTCACAGCAGGCCGCCTCACGACGACAGCCAGTTAACATCGGCGGCGCGAGCCATCGTCAACTCCATACGCAACATGCAGGCCAAGAACACCTGTGAGTTGTGCTTTGTTTATTCATTGATAAAGATAAGTGATTATAGGTTCGAATTATGGTGACCATAATAATCACTATAGGAATACACTGAGTCTGCCCGAACAACAATCAAAATAAATCTTCATAATTATAATGGGATTTTTTCCCCTTCCACTAAAGCCCGGTCTGTGAGCACGTAGAATGTTGTCCAATGACCCCAAGCTACCCATCCTTATCGCTCGCGCGTAATTATATTGCTGTCGCGACTGTGCGACGGGCGCCCGCAGTGAGTGTGCGAGCGCGACAGCAACATAATTACGCGCGAGCGATAAGGATGGGTAGCTTGAGGTCATTGGACAAAATTCTACGTGCTCACAGACCGGACTATAAATGAAGCTGCACTGAGCGAGCCGATTCTGAGCAGTCTAGGAACTAGAAACACTAGTAGAAGTGTAGAGTGCTGATAGAATTAAGATTTAAAGAAAAAGAAGAGAGTGATGAGACCGTGTATTTTCAGAGAGAGAAGTCACATTCAAATATAGCTATCAAAACATAGAATGTATGTACAGCCAGTTCTGGTTACTTAAAAAGCAGGTTTTTACAAGCAGAGACTGAACGATTGCTACAAGTAAGAGCCAATGGTGATATATACCCGTTTCCCACTCATATAGCTCATGGCGGAAAACCCTGTTTCTGAAAAAGAAACGTATAGTTTAACGTTCACTAACTCCAAAAATATCAATCATGGTATAATTGTCCTAAAAATAAATATCGCAATTACTTTTCAAATGTGCTCTTTTGGTTGAAGTTAGTTTTGATTTCGTTAAAAATTAATTGCCTTTTGAACTAACTAACTTCAAAACACAAGAGAGTAGAGTTATCAAGTTGAAATTAATTTCTTGTGTTTTGTAATATTTCAGTGCAATGGCTATAGTCTCAAGCAGTCTCAAACATTCTCAATGTTGAGTGTTATTTTACTTTGGCTGGTACAGTACTGTTTGTTAACTAATTACCAAAACCCACTCTTGTTTGCAGACCACGACAACCGGCGGTCGGACTACAACAGCTACCGTCCGGAGCGTCCGGACTACCGGCGCCGCGAGCGGGAGCCGGACGCCGTCCGGGCGGAGCGTCCGGACGCGGACAAGGAGCCGCGGCGGTTCGAGCGAGCGCCGTTTCAGTACCGCGCGCCGTATGCCTTCAGACAGGTCAATGGAATTAAAACTTTATTCTTCATCATTTCAGCCATAGGACGTCCACTGCTGAACATAGGCCTCTCCCAATGACTTCCACATCGCACGGTAGCGGCCTGCGTCCAGCGCCTTCCTGCTACCTTTATCAGGTCGTCGGTCCACCTTGTGGGTGGACGTCTAACGCTACGTTATTACACATAAGGTAAAAAATGAATAGATATAAGAGTAATAAGGTATATCTTTTAATTTGTGGTCATAGATAATAACTAGAACTCGATTTCACGCCTAAACCACTGAACCGATTTTGATGAAATTTGGCATAGAGATAGTTTAGAGTCCCGGGAAAGGACATAGGATAGTTTTTATCAGGGACGCGCGCGATAAAGATTTTCTGTGACAGACAAAATTCCACGCGGGCGAAGCCGCGGGTGGAAAGCTAGTGCTAGCTCAATTTACACAAAAAGTATCTTTAAAGTTTGAATTCTGTTACCTTACATACTTATAACAACAGACATTTCCAGAAAAAAATATTGTAAAGTACCTATAAAACAAAAGTTACATCGAAATCGATTCATGTATGTTTTGTTGCAGATGACGCCCGGTACTTGGTGCCGGCGGTCGCCCGGTCCGATGCATCCAGGTAGTTGTATTTAATTCCATATCTTTATAAATAATATTGCTTTATAAAGCCCGGTGAGTGTGCGAGCGCGATAGCAACATAATTACGCGCGAGCGATAAGGATGGGTAGCTTGGGGTCAATGGACAAAATTCTACGTGCTCACGGACTAGACTATAGCTCAATAGCTCAGTGGTCAGAGTAGTGGCAGCATGGTCGTGGTCGTGGATTCAAATTCACTTGATGCTATTGATTTTCTAGAGTAAAATAAAATACTTTTTATTAGTTTTTAGTTGATGGTAGATGTATCTTTGTTAACATAGTTTGAGCTTTATTAACGTAAAATAAAGTTCGAAACCTTGGAAAAATATTTTCCCTAACTAGTTAAATATTTTCCCTAAGGTCTATAAGGATTTGCCAATTGTTAATACATGTTGATTCTTCGACAGCAGACTGCATGCAGTGAACAAATTCTTAAGTCGACCAATGAAACTTTGTAGTTAAAAAAATCAATAGCCTATGATATCACAATACATTAGAAGTTTTTTTTTTTTTTTAAATAAAATCTTGACCAATATTTTACATTTATGAACGTCACCCCTCTTCATAAGTTTCTTTATCTTTTGGGTTCTACCAGCGCTTCGAATAAAATGATCCCTGACCATTTGGCATATTTTATTTTTCAACCGACTTCAAAAAGGAGGAGGTTCTCAATTCGACCCGTATGTTTTTTTTTCTATGTTTGTTACGCGATAACTCCGCCAATTATGAACCGATTTGAACAAATCTTTTTTCGGCGTATAGGTAATACCTCAAGGGTGGTCCCATTTAAATTTAACAATAGAAAAAACAACCCCCAAGGGTGGAAAATTGGGGATGAACTTTTTTATACGCAATATCTCCGCCGATTATAAATCAATTTGAACGATTATTTTTTTGTTGAATAGGTATTATCAAAAGAGTGGTTTCATGCGAATTTGAAGAAAATATTTCACCCCCAAGGGTGGGAAATTGGGGATGAACTTTTTTATACGCAATATTTTTAATTTTTAGTTTTTTTTTGTGTTCACGCATTTGAAGTCGGTTTTATTTTTTTTTAACATAATATTTGGACAATTACAGCGCCATCTAGCCCCAAAGAAAGCAACTAATGTAACATAGTTCTAAACCACATAACTATCTTCTTCGGCCTAACGCTAACTTTGTCGGCCGTTTGGTGTAGTGGTTCGAAACGGACTACTATGCTGGAGGTAGCGGGTTCGATTCCCGCACAGGACAAACATTGTTGTGCATGAACATATTTGTTTATATTGGACTGGGTGTTTTCTATGTATACCCATAGTACAAGCTTTGCTTAGTTTGGGACTAGAAGCTCAGTGTAACATGTCTAAGGATATTTATTTATTTATTTATCTTCCAGTGCTGAACCATCCCAGACGACCGCATCCCGACACAAGGAACCCTCGCCGCTAAGCACAAGTATCTACTAACATAGTATACGGGAATGTGTGGCGGAGTTATGTGTATTACTTATTACCATACAGTTTATATACCTAGCGGAATACAGCAACAAAGAACAGCCTTATTCACGTAACAAAACTTCAACGACAACAAAACACTGAGTTGCGATCCTATCGAGTAATCGTTCTATCAAAATGACCCTTGTGAGTACGGATTTAGAACTGTTTTTCAATGGGACGACTTCTGAACGTCAGCGAGATCTTGACTGTCAAAATACGTGAATAAGGCCACTGAGCAAGCGAGATGTCACTAGCAGCAACACTGTGTGATAAAAAAGAATGCGTGATGCCGTCGCCGTCACGTCAAACAGAACCGTTTTTTTTGCAACTATTTGACAGTTAGGAGGCAATTATTGGCACGCTGAAAATTTGAACTGACATATTTTCAGATTTTACGTTAGTGAAATCGTGGATGTTTATGAGAAATGGTGCTTCAGAAACGTGGTGACTGGTTCATTGATTGAATTATTGTACAAAACAGTGACACACAAATAAATGATATCCAATGTCATCCAAAATTGGTTTCGTTTGACAGCTCGTGGTTATTACTGCTCTATTCCGATGGAATATTAACTTAATGCTTATTACTTATGACATTAAGAAACTGTGCAACTATACAGGGTGAGCCAAAATTTTCTGCAAATAGCAACTCATGACTTCTCGAAAACGGTTTGAGGTAGGGTCGTGCGAGTGATGAGAAAATGTGCATAATTTCATGAATTTTTTGCCACTATGAAGCGTTTCACGAGACGAGAGCGTGCTTTTGTTTACATTTTTTGGCCCAGCCTGTATTCATGCCACCAATGGATATTATAATTTCATTAAATAAACATGACATCCAGGCTAAGATCTTCCTTATTGTGGATAAAAAATATTTTATCAATTTTGCAATTGGTTTTCACCAAATGAGTTATTCGATATTTACCTTGAAAATTAATACACATAACTTTGCCAAACATATTGAATGTAATGTTAACACTTAATTATTAATATTGAAGGTCGATTCACATTATTAATAAAGCCACAGTAGCACAACAGTGCGAGTTATTCATCCATACGATCGTTACGTTAATTGTGAATCGACCTTTATACTCGGATACGACTTAAGTATGTCATAATACGCACATTATTAATCTACAGCAGTGGTTCTTAACCGGTGGTCCGCGAACCACTGGTGGTCCCTGGAGGCATTCCAAATTGTCCACGAAGACATCGTAATAAACAAGTGACGTGACGTGATGAGTCGAGTCAAAACAACGCAAACGGCGCACAGTGGGCGAGAAATCGACCTCTTTTATAGGATTTTGAAAAAAAAAGGTCGTCCCTGACAAGACAGGAATTTGGTAAAATGGTCCCTCGTGACTTGAAGGTTAAGAACCACTGATCTACAGGATGATTTAAGAGCATTCGCTCTTCTAAAAACCAGTTATGGTTTGATAAAATGCCCCATCTGTTAGACATCTCACTCGAACAGTATAACGATAGAGCGAGACAGCTATAGGCGTTTTAACAAAATCTTTCTCGAGACGTATCCTCAATCGAGGGAATACCTAAAGATATGACGTAATAAAAGATTACAAGGGCTCCTTGCAGAAATGTTCATAAAAGCAAAAAATAGACTGTTTCTATTTACTTAACAGAGATACAATAATGATCTAAAACTGTTTTACAGTCTGTTCCAATGGACACTGTCATTTTTTATAACAAATTAAGCTGAATAAAATTGACTAACTTATGTTTGATTGCAAAGCGAAGATACTGACACAGTTCAATCTGTGTTTCAATCGATACATATTACTATATTAACCCTTAATACGGCAATGGAAAAATTCAACCTTACACCCTTGTCTTAAGGTCCAAAACCAAATACAATTTCAGACTGGCTGACGCTTAAGCCTTTCTTTACTGGCGTGGACTATAAACAATTTAGCTTCAATTTGATTGAGATATTGAGCAAGTGAGCCCAAAACCAATATTGAGGAACATAGAAGGCATAAAGTTTCCATATCACACGTACAGATGGCGCTAACCAGTCACAAGTAGCGCAGGCAAATATCTTTAGACAATAACTAGGAATCTAAATTTAATGTACACCTCTTTTCTGGAAGTTTTATAACAGGTTTAATACTGTTTAATAAATTAATTTTTTGCACCATAAGTCCAGCACATAACCTGAGGTATGAGAGCAGCACTTGGTAAAAATAAAACATCCTAGACTTAAGGACGTAGCACATTTATCAACCCGGAAAGGGATCGTAACCGTATCAACTCGAGGCGGTCAATATTCTTTGTATGAAACTCCATACTGCAACGCACACTTATCCGCACCGTAACTTAAACGCCTCGCCTCGCGGTTGACAGCGCGCGAAAGGCGATCGTGTTGATCCCTTTCCGAGTTAAGTCTGCTATGAACTTATACATCTGTTATACAAACTTTCAGCAAAGAAGTCGTATGGGTGTTGTACTGTTAAATATTATAAAACTTGTAAATATACACTGTACTGTAAACTGTCAAATGCCAGCATTTGAGCGTGAAACCAAAACTCAGCCACTGCCACAGTTTTCAATAATAACTAATCAAATTCAAAATGGCAGATTAAAATTTTATTTTATCACACGTTCTGTGCTACTGAAACTAATAATACATAAATGTATGGACATAAAAACGAATCAACGATGATTTAAAATTGTTTACATGAACCTACCATACAATTGGAAGTCCATTTGGAATAAGCATCAAAATTAAATGCAATAAACTTGCTGGCTCTCTCGCCAGGGCACTAAATTACGATTTTGAAATATTAGTCATCAAAAATAATAACAAATTAGTCATAAAAAGTTACCATTAACCTTATTTTAAATAGCGCCGTCTAAAAAACGTTCAACGCCATCTATTATCTAAACGTGACAACTATGAATGTGAGTAAAATACACGGTACAACTCATTTCTTTGCGAGTCTATTTTTCTCTTCAATGGATAAAAAGTAAAGACTGTTATCAATTTATAGACCTGCCAGGCGATTACGAATCTTAATTAACTTAACTGTCACACAATTTGGTGAAAACGCACACCAGTTTAAAATTCATAACTAGCAGAATATAAAAAATAGTTTTTTTACACCTCTGAACTCGCCGGTCAATCGTTTATTCCCTGAGAAGGAAAGTAAAGACAGTTTGATTAAAAATGAGACTCAGTAACGCCATCTATTATCAACTACCAAAAAGCGGTACCGCGTATTCTTCTCACTTCGAACTCGAAGCGACGTCGCGCGGAGATCTCACTGTGAACTCGAACTAGTCATTTTTTATCGATATAAAAGCTCTAGAGCGTAGTGTGATATCTACTTTTTTTTACTATAAATATAAATAAATAAATAAAACGCGCGCGTTCGACGCTTCGGACCCCGGATGTGGATTCTGTTAGTGATTTTTAGTTATTTTTTAGTTACTTCGGTAATGGATTGGAATGTGTATTTTGAGTTTTTAGTCTAAAAAGTAATACAAAAAGTGGAATGACATACCATCTCATGAACTAAAGTTTATTTGTTCCAAAAACCATTGTTGATATTATGGTTGAGTTTCATTCAAAATTCCAAATATACATTCCAGTCCGTGCCATCCTCGTCCCATAATAATTATTTAAACATAAGTTGTACATTACTGTAAGTTTATACAATTATTGTTTATTATATGATTATTTAATGACTTTTCTATGTTAAAATCTCAAATCTGTTATGTAATCAAGTACGAATGTATAAAAAACACGAGTAATGACGATGCTGTTTAAAATGCATAATAAAATTGGTGTAAAACAGTATATAAAAGTATATACGTATATATTGTACATTGCTCTATCAGTAATATATAAAGTATATATTGTATACTAAAATTATATATTCGTACTTGATTATTCACTTAAAAATATGATCACGCTTTTATTTTTATTACATAATAATAAATTAATCATAATAATGTAATGCCATATTAAAACCATTTCAAAACTTTAATATATTGGAAATTCAAGAGTAATTAAATTAAAAAGCGTGACCATAAAGTAATTTGTCTATGCCTGTATTCCTACCATGTTATTCCGTTAACGTCATACATTTGTTACAATATTTTCAACGATTACCGTTAATACCGTTACAGTCGGGGCATAGACAACATTCTCATAAACAAATACCGTTACGTTATTCCTTAATTAGTTCTAAGCTCCTGTGTTTTTGTACAGTTGTCATTTGTAACTTCGAAAAATCTAAAAACTCCAGCCGTTTGTCAACTAACAACGCGTTATTTTTTAAAATAAGTCGACAATGTTATTGTTGAAATAAATAGTTCAATTTGTCGTTTTTAAATTATATTACAAGTTAACGTTAATTATGTATTAAAGCTTTAATTATGTTTCTATTGTGACAAACAGAGCCATCTAGCGGATTTTTGGGGAACTAAAATTTATCATAAACAATAATATTGGTTATTAGAGATTAGTTCTCAAAAATTCCGCTACATTGATTCGAAAAGGCGTTACTAAAGTTGGTTATATTTTAAAAATAATGGGAAAAAGTGGTTCCGTCGAAATGGTTTTAGTCAGTTAATTCACTTTCACTCAAGAACAACATATCTTCAGATAATTGGATAGAATTTATCTTAATAAAACAGTAGCTCGAGGCCATTATAATAAGTACAAAAAAGCATTTTTCCGTTGATTTTAATGAAATCTTTATGGTACATATTGGTGTTAGTTCACATCCACATAGAGAAACGTAGACGTGTTATAGGAGGTAATGAAACTTAGGAATAAATCGTTATAGTCATAGGTGAATGTTTCGAACCATTAACGATAAATAATAATAATAAATGTCTCTAAAAATACAACAGATTTTAACTACATAACCTAATGTTTACGAACTTATCTCATATTGATATAATCTGTGCTATCATTGACAGCTGTCACTCTGACAGATCGAGAAATTGGCGGTAAACTGACCTGCTTGTGAAAACCTTCGCAGATATATTTCCGAGTGAATCATTGACTGAAACTAAACGCAAATGTCATCGAATATTGCGTCTTTTTTTAGTAACTAGACTTAAAATAATCTAACATTTTCTATCATAATTTTAATAGCTGTTTTTATTGTGACTAATTTTGGATAAAAAGGACGCAAGCGATGACAGAACGACGGCGACCACATTGTTAGTTGACAGGCGGGCTGTCAAAACCAAAAACATGTCAAATTTGACAGCGTC